CGTCTCAGGGATGGTAGGCGGATTAGTTTTTGGGAGGATATCTGGTGTGGGGACATCCCTCTTGCTCTTGCTTTCCCTCGACTGTTCAGGATTGCTTCAGATAGGCAGGCCAGGGTGATCAACTGTTATCATCTTGATAATGGGAGATTGGTTTGGGATGTTCAATTCAGGCGTCTGTTTCAGGACTGGGAAGCTGACGATGCCATTCGTCTTCTGGAGGTTTTGTATCGGTAGGGTGTTTTGGTCAGAGATTCTGATATTTGGATTTGGGCTCCCAATGCTCAGGGTCGCTTTAATGTGCAGTCTTTCTTCAGGTGTCTCACTTAAGAGCCTGCAGGTCCTTTCCCGTGGAGGGCAGTTTAGCGTTCTAAGGCTCCTCTTAAGGTGGCCTTCTTTGCTTGGTCGGGATAATTTGAGAAGAAGGAATCAGGTGGTGGTTAATCGGTGTTTTATGTGCCGTTGGGATGAAGAGTCAGTGGGCCATCTTCTTTTGCATTGTCCTGTGGCCAAGGATTGTTGGGATTTGATGCTTGGCCTGTTTGGTTTTCTTTGGGTCAAGCCTGGCTCTGCTAGAGGTTTGATTGACGCTTGGAAAGGCTGTTCTGTGGGGGCTCACATTCGAGAGGCTTGGAGGGCCACACCTCTCTGTATTTGGTGGTGCATTCGGCTTGAGAGAAACAGGAGATACTTTGAGGGAAAAGAGTCTCCTATTTCTGTTCTGAAATTCTCCATTGTTTCCACTCTTTTTTGTTGGGTTTCGGGTAGGATTATAGATCTTTTGAGGACATTGTTGATTTTTTGGCCTCTTTGAAGGCTTAGTGGTTTTTGCTTCTTGTTGTTCCTTTGCGATGCGCTCCCCTTTTGAGCGCTTTTTTATACAATTCTTACTTATCTAAAAAAAAAGTTAGTTGGGATTTCTACCAAATGTATGGTCCACGACTGGATGTTGACTTCCCACTTGGCTTTCAGTGGTTCGTCTCCATCTGTTTAAAATGAACATCCTCTCTCCAACACCGAGGCAAACTACCAGAAAACTCCTACGTCAATTGATTTTGTACAATTGAATCAAGTGCACTACAATAACAAAATTTATCATTTTCCAATTCCAGTTTTCTTTATTTCCAGTCTAAGTATTCAAAATATAGCAAGTTTCAGTAAAAAATTACAAAGTTTCAGAATTAAATAAGGTTTTCTGTCAGTTTTTTAAAAAAACTAAAACATCCTAAATTAAAAAAACAAAGGAGAGAGACGGATAGAAAGATAGATAGAATGAGAGAGAGGAGAGATGCTTCAAAACTCCCTAACAAAAAACAGAAGGATTAATGACCTGTTATTCTTTTTTTGGGTAGACTCCACTCAGTTATGCAGGCCAAAAAAAGTAGTTCATCACTTGTCTAAAGTGATTAAAAAACATTTACAAAAAAAAAAAAAAAAAGGATTGCATGGCATGGTCATCAGTTTGCAGAATGAATACTGCTTGAATCCCCAAGCAGCCTACCCTCGTATCCCTCAAGTTAAATCATGCACACTGAATCTCCTTTTTCAAAAAATCTCCTACGAGGAATGAAACTGATATTTCAATTAATTCCTCTGGAGATGGTGGGTAGTTGTTACTCCCTTGAAGGGGAAAATGTACAAAGATGGCAGCAGACCCCACTGTATTAGTGTCTCTGGAGCTCGCCCCTTGACTGATGACCTTGCGAATTTTTGCCATTTTAAATTCATGTAAGTTTATTATCACCTTATATACAAAATTACCTTTCTGCCATCCTTACTTCAACAAAGACCATTAACTCATAAGCCTAGAACTCACTTCAGCATTACATATTTTTCTTAGGTAGATCCTATTATACTTTTCCAGGGGGAAAAAAAACAAGAGTGGCTCTTTTACTGTCCATATTCTTCTCTAATTCCTCAACGAAACGCTGGTTACCAAACCAAATTCAACTCAACAAGGTGAAGGCTGTTGTTTTGTTTTCCCTTAGACCAATACAAACTCTATTAAAAGTCTCTCAAAAAACTAGGACCGTTGGTGAATACAACATAAGATTGAAAAAATGTGAGCAGCAGACACGTCATCAAAGTTCTTTGCGTCTCTAAAATAAATAGAGTTCCATTCCATTTGGGATTTAGGAATAACCATAGTAATCGGACCTACTTTTTACATATCTCTCGTTATTTGAAACTTTATTTACCTCTTTGTTTTCTATTGATATCAGAGGCCCAGCTAAACCGTGGAACACTCCTTTGACCTATTGAGTTCACTACGAACATATTCCATCACCCAGGCTAAGATTTGGAAGAAAATCTAATAAGCGCTCATGAAAGCCAAGGTAGAAGGCAGGAATTTCCAAGAAACAAAATGCCATCACAACTTGGAACATTTGGTTCAAATTCCTCTTGCACTAATGAGACCATTGTCCACTTAAGTTTGCTCAAAACCAACGCCCCTTCAAAATAGCTATAATATATGAAAATAGACCATTTTCATTAAAAATGTAGAAATACAATATAGAAGAAAGAGGAGAGAAATATGTAAAAGGTTTGAATGAGATTTATAATATGCAAAGGCTTGAATGATATCAATCACTCATTCACATCTCAAGTATTTATAGATAAAATAAGAGCACATGCTCATAGTACAAGAAAAGAAACTAAATCAAATCTCTGCTAATATGGTAAGTCATTCCATAAATCATGGCTATCATATATGCTAACATATGCATAATCAAATCTATGCTAATATGGTAAGTCATTCCATAAATCGTGGCTATCATATATGCTAACACTCCCTCTCAAGTTGGTGCGTGGATATCCGAAACGCCCAACTTGGACAACACATCTTCAAACACGGTCTTGCTAGCACCCTTCTTCAGAAACTACAAGTTGCAGAGTGCAAATCTGACTAGATTAAAAATGTCGATCAACAAACCAAAAATGTCTCCTCAGACCATAAATAATTAATAATGTCTCATCAGACCGTAAACAACCAATCACATCTCCTCAGACCGTAAACAACCAACAATGTCTCCTCATACAGTAAACAAACAACAATATGTCTCCTCAGACCGTAAACAACTAACAATGTCTCCTCAGATCATTACCCTTCACATGTTTAAAACATGTAGATGGAAGAGTCAACAATGTCTCCTCAGACCATTCCCCTTTATACATATGTTTAAATAATGTAGAAGAAATAATCAACAATGTCTCCTCAGACCACAAAAAAAGAAACAACTATGTCTCCTCAGACCGTTTCTGAATGGATGGGTGCCGAACTCGCAATGCCCTCATTATAGTCGGACCACCCTGGCTCTAATACCAAGTAGAAATACAATATAGAAGAAAGAGAAGAGAAATATGTAAAAAGTTTGAATGAGATTTATAATATGCAAAGGCTTAAATGATATCAATCACTCATTCAAAGCTCTATATTTATAGATAAAATAAAAGCATGCTCATATTACAAGAAAAGAAACTAAATCAAATCTAAATCAAATCTCTGCTAATACATAAATCATGGCTATCATATATGCTAACATATGCATAATCAAATATATGCTAATATGGTATGTCATTCCATAAATCATGGCTATCATATATGCTAACAAAAAAGAACAAAGAGAATAAATACACGACTACATATGCAAACACATTAAGTAATTAAGTCATTTAACACTTCACACTCATTAGTGATTCGAAGACATTTGAATTGGCAAAATGTATTTCCTTCCTCAACGTCCCTTCAGCTTTCTAAAAAGCTTTCTGAAGGTTAGATTCAGAAGTTAGAGGGGAGGGAAATGATAATACAAGTACAATAGATGTGATTATGCACAACACAAACATTACTTGCAACCCAATTATAGGTTCCCCCCATCGAAGTTGAGGTGTGCTCACTTGATACAAGAAGGCAACTATAACTTGTATCACTTGTAAATAAGCCATCATCTTGGTATTGCTCGAACAAGGGAAAGAGATTTTATTTCTATTAGACCAAAGGTTTACATGAAAAATGCTCTTGCCTTGTTCAGTTTTTTAAAGCAAATACAATTCATAAATAAAGGCAAACTGGTCTGGAACGAGGTAATCATCCTCTTCCTGGGACAGCAGCCCTTCCAATTTGAAATCGAAGAGATAACAAACCAATTAAACATTGAATTTCACTTTGCAATAAAACCTTTATAACGCTTTTTTGCTTCAAACAAGGTTAAAATTATCAAGAACAATATGAGCCCAAGGGTTATAAAGGGCGGAGCCAGGACTTGATACAAAATGAAGTCAACTAAACGGACTTACGATGGTGCAGTGGAATATTTAATACAAGGTAGTGTGTGGTTGTGTTGGTTAAATACTGGACATATTGGTTTTTTAATATAAAATATCGACTCACAATCAATATTGGGTATGTTGGTCTAATATTAAAAAAATCGGGGTTTTAATGAAGAAAGGGATGCAAATTTATTTGAAGAGAATTTAAGAAAAAAAATATTGGAGGAAAAAAAAAAAAAAAAGAATTAGAAATTTTTTTTAGAAAAAGACAATTGTAGGGATCATGAAGATAATTTTATAGATTCACATGTCTAATGTGTAAAGTCCACATGCATCAAAAGTTGGCACCAAATGGACGGATCCAACTCATCAAGTGAGGGCCCACAAGGCTTTCCAAAGGTAAAACATATATATATAGTAGCTGACTTTTTCCAGTTAAAGTATCCGTTTATATCCACCCAGAATCAAAGTAAGGAGCAAATGAAAAAAAGAAATTAATAAAAGGAAAGAAAAAATTTGCCATTAAAGCACAGAATACCATCTTAGTATTATGATCTTTATACAGATGTTTTACAAGTAAAAAATAATAATGTTGGTTACTGTTAATAACTTTACATGAACATTAAACAACAATATTTCATAAAGAGATCTGTATTTAGAAGCCATTACTACACATAAATAACAGCTATAGAGTTGACAAAAGGCATGTATCAGGAAAATCGAGAGCGAACCTTCTCAAAGGCCACACGCAGGACTAGGGGATCATATGGAGCTGAAGGTATCCGTTCTGCATACCATGGTGGGTTATACCACCTTCTAAGCTCTCCTGTGGCATGTCACATCAGCAAGGATAAAATAGCCAGCATTACTTTTTTCCGATTAAAAATAGCCAGCATTACTTGCAATGTCAAAAACACTTAAAAGAATAGTGCATAGACAAATGAAAATTTTAAACTTCATTATAAAATTGAAGAAATGAATCTTTGAATTGATTTCATTCATTACAACGAAGAAAATAAAATATTTACAATTTTAAAAATTAATGTAATAATAACTTCTCAAAAAAAAAAAAAAATTTAATGTAATAATAACATCAACTAGTAGCTCCAAATCCACAAAACATCTTGCCAAATTTTGCAAAATGTCATAGGCTTTTCATAAAAAAGTTAGCAGTACAACTATTCTTTTATAGTATTCCTTTTCAGTAAGAACTTATATGGGCATTGCTTCCACAAACAAATTATTTCACCACAAGACATCATTATTTTTGTTTTTTTGGTTAAGCACTTTTTTACTGCAGCAATAATATGGATCTAAATATTTCAGAAGAGAGCCTTATACTTCTTCCCAATTGAAACATAATATATTCATTAAGGTAGGGGTTGATAGCTCACAAGATTGCTTTACAAGACTATATGATCAAACTAAAGTCCATGTAAGCAGAAACTATATCAACCATATGAGCAAGCACAAGTGATCCTAAATTTGACATAAAAGAACTTCAATGCACAACAGCTCAACTTACCATGTTTGCTTGAATATATATGCCCAGGAAGGAAGGACATGAATCTTTCGCAATCATCACTTAGAGCTTTCATTTCTGAAGCAAACCAAACCGATCCTGTAGAGAAAGTGGCAGTGACTTGGTACTTTTTTTATGAGTATGATTTGCATCTATGAATTAGAAAATAAAAAACAGGAATAAATCAAATGACTATGATGTAGAATCTTTTACTTTCAGCACCAAACAATGAATGAACCAATTTGACAAAGATGATTCGAAGGTTAAAGAAGAAGAAAGGAAAATAAGAATTAAAGAGAAAACATCCTGTTAACTACCATCTACTCTAAAAGCTTAAGCTGTTAGAGAGGGTGCAACTTTAATATTTATATCCTTCAACACATCCTACCAAGGCTATTATAAAGAACAAAAGAGAAAACAACCCACCAAGGTTCCTAGGTAGTCATGCCTAAAGAAGGATGCACATCACTAGTAGGCGATCTATGATTGCTTCACTACATGCTACTTAAAAATCACTTTATATAAAGGACCATAGCTTTGAAGCCAAGGAATACCTAGTGGCCAAGTAGGACTAAAGAGTTGAGCCTTTCTATATCCATAAGACCCACCAAACTTGACTCAAAATGCACAAGTTAGCCCATAACAGTGTTGGTCCGCTGTACCGCCCAAAGCTAAATTACTAATATGCCCCTAACATTAGTGTTAGCCATGATATGATAGGCACAAATCATGGGATGTGACTTACTATATTATCTAAGATATGATAGCCACAAATCATGGATTTGACTTTATTTAAGCATATATCTAGGCATAGAATATGCAATAATTTTATTCAGCTTCCTTTATTGTAACATTAACATGTGCTCTTGTTAGTATATAAATATGAGAGTTGTGAATGAGTGTATTTACATATCATTCAAGCCTTTACACAATTCTCCCATTTTTCTTCTTTTCATATTTCTATTTGGTATCACAGCCAGGGTTGTCCAACTGCAATGAGGGCATTGCGAGTTCGGCACCACCTATTCGGGAATGGTCTAAGGTCACATTGCACATCCGGGAGGTGTCGGGTAGGCAGGGTGTTCCGACCTCAATGAGGGCGTTGCGAATTTGGCACCATCTATTCAAAAATGATCTGAGGAGACATAGTTGTTTCTTTTAATGGTGTGAGGAAGCATTGTTGATTCTTTCATCTACATTATTTAAACACATGTATGAAGGGAAATGGTCTTAGGAGACATTGTTGGTTGTTTACGGTCTGAGGAGACATGGTTGGTTGTTTACGGTCTGAGGAGACATTGTTGAATGTTTATGAGCTGAGGACACACTTTTATTGTTGATCGGCACTTCATTTGACAGAAAAGCATCGCTAATCAGATTTGCACATGTTAGCAAGACAAGGTTTAAGGATACATTGTCCAAGGTGGGCGTCTTAGACATCCACTCACCAACTTGAGGGGGAGTGTTAGCCATGACATTATAGGCACAAACCATCGGATGTGACTTACCATATTATCTGAGATATGATAGCCATAAATCATAGATTTGACTTTATTTACGCATATATATAGGCATGGAATATGCAATAGTTTTATTCAGTTTCCTTTATTGTAATATTAACATGTACTCTTTTTAGTATACAAATATGAGAGTTGTGAATGAGTGCATTTACATATCATTCAAGCCTTTACACAATTCTCCCATTTTTCTTCTTTTTATACTTCTCTATTAGAAACTAAATACTACAGCAATAAACCTTGAGATGCTTAATTAATAAACCTTGAGATACTTAATTTCATAAACAAGTTTTAACTTGGAATCTTGACAAGTAACTATCTTGGCCCATGAATCTGGTTTCCCCATCCTCTTTTAACATTTAACAAACCTTCAAAACATATTTTTCCAAGTAACAAGGTTCTCGGCAATGCCATCACCACCAACTTCCTTTTTCTTATAAGCAATGCACAAGCACATCTTCCCTAAAAGGACATAAGCACCTCCCCTAAAAGGGTGGTAGTACACACCCTGCGCAGCCAATAGCTTTTAAGTTATGGACACCATTAGAAAATACGGACACGACACAACACAAATACTATTATACCACAAACTTAAAAATGCAAAATACAAATACAACAAGGATATAAAAATTTATATATTGAATTAAGTAAAGAAAAAAAAAAAGTATCAAAATTATTATGTATCCATATATTACATGATAATAATTGTTTGTCGTATCATGACAAGCACGCTGAGAGTTATATTGCAAGTCAAACTGTGGACTAAATTAGACATGATACATTCTCACTATATCTCAATTCTTCGTTTCTGGAAAAGCTTTAAATATTTGGAACCCTTGTTATTCTTTTATTAACAGTTATACGATAATATTATACTTAGAAAATTAGTGTTGTAATTTTTTAGAGCTGTCAAACATGTGACTTGAGTTTTTAAGAAGTACCGGTATGTGGCCGAAGTATCAGATTCTTGTTTGAGATAAGAAAAATAAAAAAAATATTTTCAAATTATGGATAGATTTACGAAGTATCCGACACAAGTCAGTGAGTATCCAAGGTGTATCTGTATTGGATACAGATACGATATGGATGCAGCCCCTTATTGAAGTATTCATGCTTCACATGCCACCAACAACAACTTTCATTATTATAATTTAGAAGAAAATTATCATTGAAGAACATGAATAAATGTCATGGTAGAATCCCAAAATTAGCAAGTCATGCAAACCTAAGTAATGCTTCAAAAATGCCCCACGCTAGATCTATAAGACTCGAAATACGTTAATGTCAGATGAAATAATCAAGCTCAACTTGGCGACATGCAAGATCACTATTACATAACATTGCTTCAGCAATACACAATAGCAGATAGACTACTCGACTACTCCAAGAACCACTATTAAAAAGGTAGCATCAGCAGGACAAGGAAAACCAAAGTGTAAGTAATTCAAATTCGGACTTAAAATAGGTGCCAGAGCTAGTCTAATTTATTAAATAGAAGATGTCAACAAAGTACACAAATATGAGAATCTTTTTTTCTCGTTTCTTTTTAATTTTATTTCACTTTTATTCTTTTTGTGTGTGTGTTTTGGGGGGAGGAGTGATTGCTCAATCTATGTTACAAGGACTGTAAGAAAATGCATTTACCCATGTCATACACACGACACTCAGACATGGGCATGTGATATGTGTCGGACGCATTTGGTTGGACATGCACCCAACAAGTTTATCCAATAATTAAAATTCTGTGTAATTGTAATAAAAACACTCTTATCGCATTTCTTTTGTTACATTATCATTTCAAAATGAGTGAAATGCCTAATTAAAAACTCTATCTTACATAAAATAAATTATTTTACACTAGGAATATAATATGAAACAATATGAATACTTAGTTGTGTTCCAGTGTCCAATTTCATAAATTCAACACACACATACCCACACCCTAGACACTTACCTAAATCCATGTAACAAAGTTCTCAGCAGTGCCATCACCACCAACTTCCTTTTTCTTATAAGCAATGCACATGCACATCTTTTCTAACAGGTACATAAGCCTTACACCTCCCCTAAAAGGATGGTAGCATACACCCCGCTCAGCTAATAGCTTTAAAGTAATGGACACGGATAGAAAATATGGGTATGACATGATACAAATACGATAATACCACAAATTTTAAAAAGCAAAATATAGATACGACAAGTATATAACAATCTATATATTGAATTAAGGAAAAAAAAAAAAAAAAAAGTATCAAAATTAATATGTATCTATATATTACATAATAATAAGGGACTATTACATATAAATGGTATTAATGACCCATATTTACCATTTAGAAAAACACTGTTCATTTGCCAATAGGTACCACTCCAAGCAAGTAACACTTTTTGAAGATATTTCTAGAGATAAAGGAATAGGAATAATTCTCCGTGTTTATTCTTCTCCTTGTGGAGGATTTAAATAGTACACAAATAATTACAAAGGAAAGAAATAATTACAAAGAAGGAAAGAAATTAAAGACTAAAAATCAGCTCCTATAACAATGCTAATCAGCACCTAATCAGCACATGTACAGCTAATTATCTATATATGTTAACAATTATATAGTCAACAATACAGCTAATTATCTATATATGTCAACACTCCCCCTCAAGCTGGAGAATAGATGTCCCGGATTCATAATTGAACACTTTGCTAGAGACTCCCTTAGTCAAAATATCAGCAAGTTGATCCTCGGTCCTCACATAGGGAGTGCAAATCACACCTTCTGTTAACTTTTCTTTGATAAAGTGCCTGTCAATCTCAACATGTTTAGTCCGATCATGTTGCACAGGATTACAAGCAATGTTGATGGCTGCCTTATTATCACAATATAGCTTCATGGGACTTTGACAAGTAATCCTCAATTCTCCCAATAGGATCTTCAACCATAATAATTCACACACACCGCGGGCCATAGCTCTGAATTCAGCCTCGGCACTAGACCTGGCCACAACCGATTGCTTATTACTCCGCCAAGTAACTAGATTGCCACCCACAAATGTGCAACATCCCGTAGTTGATCTTCGATCCGAAATAGAACCAGCCCAATCAGCATCTGTACAGGCCTTTACTACAGAGTGATCATGTTTTGAAATCAAAAGACCCTTACCAGGTGTTGATTTCAAGTATTTAAGTATCCTCTCTACTGCTTGCATCTAAACTTCATGTGGCTCATGCATGAACTGACTGACAACACTCACTGCATAGGCTATATCAAGTTGTGTATGAGACAAATATATTAGTTTTCCAACCAACCTCTGATATCTCTCTCTGTCAATTGGTGCATAATCAGTCTGTTCACCCAATCTACAATTCTATTCGATAGGAGTATCCACAGGCTTGCAAGCTAATATCCCTATCTCAGTTAAAAGATCAAGTAAATACTTTCTCTGTGAACGAGCCACTTCAATACCTAGAAAATACTACAGGACACCCAAGTCTTTAATTTCAAATTCCTTGGCCAAATGTACCTTTAGTCTCTTAATCTCCTCGGTATCATCCCCGGTGATGATGATATCATCCACATAGACAATAACAAC